AATATAATATATAACGAATAAGAAACAATTGTTACTAAGTGCGCTCAAGTGGATTCAATATTTTTTTAGTTTGTCGAATGATTGGCCAGGCAAACTATTACTTTGTTTCCAAAGCTTGTTACTCTTAACAGATTTCAACATTGGGTGAAAGCTTGCTGTTTGCGTAAGCCAATTCTTAATATTAATATTTTCGAACAGCAATCAAAAAAAGGTTAAAACCTGCGATAGCGACAATAATGCATTTCTGTAAATGTGATTCAGTAAACAAAAGATTAATCCCAAAGAAAAAATCACATTTTGCAACTTTGAATGTCTGGGGAACATTTGATTAAGAGGTAGGTACCAAATGCATCCATCCACTAGCAGATTATGGCTCAGAAGTAGGCGATTTCTAATTAATCTATTTCTGGATTTGGCCGCATTTGTTGAGTCAGTCAATTACGTTGGGATATTAACCAGAAGGTTTATTGCACAAATGTACACTTGTGTTTTTCGACTTAGAATTCAGAAACTTAAATCTTACTTCAGAATTGCACAGCAAAAAACCAAAACTTACAATGTTTTGGTTCTGTTTGTATTCTTAACTATTGTTCAGTGCTGGCTGCTGCATTGCTGTAAGGCTCCCAAAAAGGAAGAGAACTTAAGAAAACTGATCTTATAATCTAATGGTTTTTTGATACTACAATGCTGTAATGAAACTTGAGGTGGTTAGGGCACTTGGTATGAAATCCAACAGTTAGTACCACTACATAATTTATTAACTTTTCACATACAGCATAAGATTCTGCTGTTGGATTCGATAAGGCTGACAACTTTATTATGATAATTACGTACTCAGATTAAGTAAGAACCAACAGTTATCAGTAATAAGTGAACTATGGACTCAGACTTATTTATAAGCATTAACTCATTAGGGACAGCAGAGCCCTTTGCTCTCTTACGAAGATACGACTCTCCACTACCTCCTGTCCTGCTAAAACAAAGCCGTGACTTAAGTGGAGTTTGGCTGTATATAGTCCAGCGGCAATTGCTTTTTTGAGTAGTCAACTTGTATCGGTTGTTGGTCAGCATCAAAATTCTATGCGACCTTATACTTGTATAACTTGTATAACCTTAACTGTATGTTTGTGAGAGATTCGGTTTTTGTGCTTTGTCTATTATATTGGTCTGTATTATATTGTCTGCGTTATGTTTCGAATTGGTTTTTGTCCATGTTCTCATGCATCATTCGCTTTGTTTGTTACATATTGTAACGGAAATGGCCTGGGGTACTCACGTTTGGAATGGGGGATCGAAATTCATGGTGTTTCAGTAAATGGGAGCCCCATTTGGGCCCCATTTACTGTCAAATATGACACTGACAAGCGGGAAGTTTCGCACCTGTTCTGGAGATTTCTAGAACTATCTGGAATACCTGGAGAAAAGGATATAAGCGACGAGGAGAACCAGACCAGGAGAGTGAAGTGACAGCCGCGCCTGAGTGCAGAAGAAGTTAAACCCGCGAGTCGGAAATCCGTGTTTTCCGTGTGTTATTGTTATCGTTTGTGAAGTTGACATTAATTTAGAAGTTAGTTTGTTCCTGTTCCGTAGTTAAAGTTGTACCGAGTGGAATAAAAGTTGTAACCAGAGGAAAGAATTTGATACTCGGCCATCCACGGTACAATATAATTCAGACTTTGTGTGGCAATACAGCCCATTTTGATTATCGATATACTATCAATACTAGAGGTATTAATACGTAAAGTATGTATAGTATATAATAAATTTGTGAAACATCAGCTAATCATTGGCCTAAATATTTTGTTTTTATCAATAAATATCTCAATAGAGGTGCAGGCAACCAAACATACGACGTTGAATGGCGCGAATTTTCCATAAACATAAACTAACGACATAACCTTAAAATTAGTTGCCAAACAGTAAAGGGAAAAGTGGTATTCTGTGCAGAATTCTTCGCTGCAGAATGTCGAACCCAAAGGAAAGAATATCTTTAAAATACACTAATTCATCTAATAAGTTCTCGGAACCTTCCGCGGAGTATAACAATCAGTATTGCAGTATCTACTTAACCCGGCTTAAATGTATGGAGCCCCTTCTCATGGAACGAATAGAAAAGAAATGGGGTGATAAGTACCCCATTTGTAAACTGCATAAGCTTACAGAGGAAAAGTATAACAAATGTGTTGTCATTGGTACTGTATTTAAAGACCAAAAATTAAAACCGTCAGTGCTAAAACAGTTGGCTGAAGGAAATCAGTTAATCCCTCAGCCTATTTTAACTCATTTTACCGATGAGTCCGATTTGTTGTTTATGGAGGATGAAGTTCAAAGATATCAAATTGTTGGTAAGTTCAAGAATTTCTTTAAAACTAGGTTAAACTGTATTCAAATTTACTTACTTGGTAAGAAATGTGTACAGCTACTATTAGGTACCTAAGTACTAATTATTTACAGTTAAGTACTCAAAGTAGAAAATTATTTCTATCGATTTTAGAGGTCTAACGAAGAATGATTGCGGTTTTTCTTCTTATTTTCTTATTTGTGGTTTGTCTCATCTCAACGTATTTCTTATTGTCTGTTTGTCACTGAAGAGTAATTAGAGATATTAAATCTTTTATGCAAAACTTTGATTTGCTGTTGCGGATAGTAGTAATAAGAATTTACTCAGGTGTATGTTCAAATACATCTCAGTTCCTCGCTGGGTTCAAAAATAATGTTATAATAAATAAATAACATTAAATAATTTTTAAATATAAAACATTATCAACGTCACACACAAGCATTTAATCCATGAAAACAAATGCATCATCGAGGAGCAACCGGGAGTCATATTAAAGATAATTTCTTTGGAAAGATTAAGGACTGTTGATGCCTGAATGTAAAATAGTCTTCAATATTTTATTCGCAAGTATTCCATGACCACAACCAGTGAACGATTGTGTGAAAAATTCTTATTTTTAAGAAGCTTGGAGAAAAGATATCTCCACATCCGAGGTGTTTTCTAAAGCTTTCCTAAATATCTCCTCCAAATAAACGTTAAACAGTAGGGGTGAAAGAACACAACTTTGTTACTCCCTTATCGATTTTAATTTTTCCAGACAGTTCGCTTTTGATTCTGATTTTGGCTTTTTGTTGTTGATTTGTCGTCCGATACATGATCTTAAAACTTCTAGTTTCAAAAGGCTTTCGACCTGGTTAAACATGATAAACTAATAGAAGTTTTAAGAACATGTATCGGAAAAATATATAAAATATATAAATATATATATAAAAAGTCTATAAAACATAGATGTGCATCAGAATCGACATCCCTACATCTTTCAATTAATACTTGTCTTCGAAGTTTGAGTTTGACCAATGCGATCGTCTAATTTATTGTATATTCTATTGTGTGTTGTTCGGACGAAATACTTCAACATATCAGGATAATGATCCTGGGTTCTTCACATTTCCTGGATATTTTTTTAATAGTGGTGTAAGTCAGTCATCTCTGCTATTACTCCTGTATGATATATAATGCATATATCTATTTGATATGTTTGTCTAATAACATCTTTATTGTTGCTAATAACATCTTTATTGTTGCAATTTGAATGTTATCTTCCCCGGCAGCTTTTCTGTTCTTTAGCTGTTTTGCTGCTTTGATAATGTCCTTCTGCGTGATATAAAATATCTAAATCTGCGTCCAGTCCACGCCTCCTGCACACCAATGTTCTATCTCTCTTGGTCTTGAAACATTTATTTTACGTATTCTCTCCATCTGTCCACTGTCCATTTAATCTTCTATGCTCAGCAAAGGTATCCCATGTTTATCCTCAACAAATTATTACATTATTTTATTGCTAGTGGATCCCTCTTTACGTTTATCTGGGTTAGTAACTATTGTTTTCTTAATTCTTTTTATTGTTTAACCTCTACCTTTATTGCCGCTAGAAGAAGATTGTGGTCGGTCGGAATCGCAGCTCCGGGATATGTCGTGCACGATTTTACTGCATTGTTGTTTACACGATTGTCGTCAGCAAAACAATAGTTTCAGATCATTTGAATCGCTTAGGGAAGTCATAGAAACTCGACAAATTACTAAAATGGTCCTTTTGAAGTGTCGTCTGCCTTCCTTGCAATAAAAACGACTTGTTTGTCGGAAAAGTGGACCGTCTACGACAATCAACAACGGTCAGCAGGTTCCAAGCTGAAACTGCCCCCAAAATATAGTTATGGCGACTGTTTGGTAGTCGGCGAGCTTCCTAAATGAAGCAAAACAATTGCGACAAAAACGTGTTGTCAACAAACCCCTGAAATGCACCGGAAACCACGACTTATGATTCAATTGGTGAACAAAAAAGGACCAAGTCTGCATTTTGTACAACCGTCCTTGCGAAAGTTGAACCCATTGGGCTGCAAAACTGTGAACCAACCTTCAGAAGCCGAAGTTTTTTTATGTTATCTGTAGAAACACACTTGTATCACGTTTGCAAATGTGTACTGGTTGTACGGGTACTGGTCTCATTCCGTTTAATAATGCTTTGTTTTAAGCGAGTTACGACATTTAAAGATTTTGAGGTGGAAACGCTCAGTTACTCCCGGACAGCATAAATTTGATCGCCTGACCGCCAATTTCATCGTTGAATAATATAAGAATAAATAATGTACAATAATGTAATATTTACATCAATCTATGGTTTTTCAGGGAAGATAGATGGCACCAAATTAGTTACCGGTATTACCTGTGCGCTACTAGGAACTGATATCGGAAAAGGAAAATTTGAAGTAGATGAACATATATTTGCTGAATTTAGAGAACAAGTTGAACGGCCTATTTTTGAGTCTGCCGTTTACGTATTATTCGTCAGTGGCCTAAATCTCGTCGATCAAGCAAATTTTGCACCCAATTTGCAGTTATTAATATATTGGCTAAGTGGGGCTTTTGGGGACCATGATAAAGTATCTAAAGTATGCAGAGTTATCATTGCTGGAAATAGCATCCGAAGTGACGCTCCAAAGGCAAAAACTACCATCTCCATGATTTCTAAAGTAACCGAGTCGTCAGATACGATAGAAGCAGTTAAATCTTTAGATGACTTTCTCTTAAAATTATGTCAAGTTGTTGATGTAGATGTTATGCCTGGCGAACATGACCCATCAAATCACATTTTGCCGCAAAAACCAATGCATTTCTGCATGTTTCCCGAATCTTCCCAATATAAGTCATTCAATCAAGTTTCCAATCCGTATCGATGCGAGTTGGATGGATTTAAATTGCTAGGATCTTCGGGTCAACCAATTAGAGATATTATGAGGTTTGCTGATGTGTCGACCAGTTTGGAAGCTATGGAAGATTGTTTGATCTGGAATCATTTAGCTCCCACAGCTCCAGACACGTTAGGTTGTTTTCCATATTACGATAATGATCCTTTTATTATCGATGACTGTCCTCATACATTTTTTTGCGGGAATCAGCCTGAATTTGCGTCTAAAATAGTTACAGGTTAGTAAATAACATAATAATTCTAACAGTTTCTTATATTAAATTGTTTTCTTTAGGAGGAAGTGGTCAAAAAGTATGTTTAATAAGTATTCCAGACTTTTCCAAAACGTTTGAGGCAGTTCTTTTGAATATTCAAAACCTAGATTGCCAAACCATATCTTTTGAAACGAGATAGTATAGTATATGCATGTGAACATATTTCAGTTTATATCAAATTTATACCAGTTTTTTTGGAAATAAATGTGCTATTCTTAATATTTAGTCTTTATTAGTGTATGTTTTGTATGTATTTTTTTTGATGTTTTTAATATGATCAAGATATTGAATTTTTCTACACTGGTCTGGGGAAAGTAGTAAAACATTATCACTAAAAACATATTTATTTACAAAAACCAAAAGCATAAATTTGGCTTCACTTAGGCGTAACTCATAAAAAAAAGGGTGATTTTACCGGCGTATCTATAAATTCGTCACTCTTATCAGTTAAGAATAATTTAATATTTGAAATACATTTAGTCTGCGTGTACAATGCGTTCACTCATTACATGAGCTGTCGCCATATATACAGGGTTGCTCATTAGTGCGTCAAAGTGCGATATCTCAGTAAATATGAACTTTACAAGAAAATACTTCCTACGAAAGTTTTTCATGTTTAAAAGGTCCACATTTTAAAATTACTTTCCAATATACGGGGTGTATCATAAACGTGTGGTAGTTACCAACTTTGGTTTTTTAAATGGAACCGCCCCTTTTTCATTCATTTTCAGATTTGTGGTCAAAATTTAAGTTAAGTTTGTGTCAAACGTTTTACCTGAAAAATTTACCATTTCCGAGTTATTCGTAAAAATGTGAAAGTTTTGACAGCTACTGGGTTCCACAGAAATCGATGCTGTACACTACCCGCTGCGAATTTTGGAAAACAGTTTTCAGCAATTCTAACAGAACATCATGATCTACGCGTAGATATGTTTTAAATTATAAGTAAATACTTCTAAACCGCGCAATTAGCCTCTAAACTTGCATGTTTTTAAACCTCAAAAAGTTGCTTATTTCAAATGGAACCCCCTATTTTTTTTCT